GGGGGGGAAGAGGGGGAGGAGGAAGGGAGAGAGGGAGAAAGAGAGAGGGAGAGAGGAGGAGAGAGAGAGGGAGGGAGGGAGGAAGGGAGGGAGGGGAGGAAGGAGAGGGGAAAGAGATAGAGAGCAAAAGAGAGGGCCGAGAGAGACAGAGAGACACGACAGAGACGGAGAGAGAGACAGAGACTTAAAGAGAGACAGAGACAAAGAGAGACAGAGAGTAAAGAGAAAGTTGTGGTAGATTCAGAATCGCCGAGCGTTGTCAAAAGATCGCATCGTGGTCGCTACACCAAAACCCTTTTGCTTTTTTTGTGCAGAATTTTAAGCAGCCGTAGTAATGCACAACTTTGGTACATAATTGTAGGTAAAAGTTGTGCGTCACGGCGCACAAAATCCTGGGGTTGTTTAGATTATTGCATGTATTTATGCACAGTAAAATTCATAAGGATTTAGTGCGCTGGAAACGCACGTGTGTGAATGTCACTCACCTTTAGGAGTGTGAATAACCATTCGTACACTTAGAGGGGTATAGGTGTGAATTTTTCCTAGAAAATTCACACGTTTAACCCCTGAAGTACGAATGGATATTCACACTCCTACAAGTGTGCGACATTCATTCAGTTGCGTTTCCAGTGTGTTCGCTTGCATTTCTTAGGCCTAGGTGAACTACAAATTCCAGTCTCCCTGAGGGGCACCTTATCAGTACGATGATCACTTCCTCCGTCATTGTGCTCGTCGACCCGCCGGACACGGGGGCATGGGATACGCGTCACGACGGCGATAGGGGTGATCGCCATGCTGAAACGCGTCTTGTTTTTCGTGTATTACCTCCCCTGATAATCAACTTATATCTTAAGTGATGTCCAGCCTGGCCTGGTCCGTACAGCCACTCTTCTTTCTTTTTTTTAAACTCAATTAAGAACCAATCGTGAAAGCAGATGATACAAGTTTAAGACCAGTGTAGTCGTGTTTCACTTTGCTCTCCGTCTTTAGTAGGCCCGAAACAAAAAATAATTAGGACCTGCGTCTTGTTGTTTGAATTCGAACCGATGTCAAAAAAATTGTCCATCAGCGTCCGAATTAGAATTGCGTGCCAAATTTAAATTTAGATTTCTAGCTGAAAGAGCAAACCTTAAATCGATAGTCGACGCACAAAAGCACTATTAGCCCGTCTCGTGGCATTACAGTCTGGCTCTGGATGTCTGGATCAGTATGGATGGGGCGAGGCCCAGTATTGTTGTGCGAGATAGATAGGGGGCGACCGGCGGGCGACACGGCCCCAGCCCCAGCCCAAGCCTAGCCGCAGCCAGCCAGCTAGCCGCGGTAGCCACGCTAGCCACAGTGCGAGGGCAGTGTTGATGTGACCTGCTCGCTAAAAAAAATGTGCTTAACACTACGTTGCACACTTTTCAGTGTTTGATAAGATACTTAAATATTGGTTCGTATTTTAACTTTTGAGGTGTATAGTCGGTACCTGTCAGGGTAACAATAATACCGACAGTACCTATAAAAACCACCACATAAGTATTTTTCCGATGAAATGTTGGTACTCGTGAAAATCGCCATACAAGTTTGCTTTTGTTTTTCGTTGTCAAGGTTGTACTCGTGAAAATCGCCATACAAGTTTTTTTTTTACAGTGCAAAGTTGGTACTCACCCGACGATGCCAGGACCGCGGAGGCGAGCAGGCACACGAGCACTACCAGACCGGCCGGTACGCCGGAGGCCTGGACCATAGTGACTCCTGCAGGAGCGACAGAGAGAAGGAGAGTCAGTCGGCAGTCGGTCAAGACAGGGAAAACCATTTTCCCCTCCCTCTCCATCCCTCTCCCCTCCGGCCCCTCCCACCTCCAATCCCTCCCACCTCCAATCCCTCCCCCCTTCCCCACCACTCCCTCCCCCCTTCCCCACCAATCCCTCCCCCCTTCCCCACCACTCCCTCCCAACATCCACCATCCCGATGCCGGGACCGCCCTGGCGCCTGCGAAGTCCGACATAGGCCACCCGCCCATCGGAGAGGCAAGGTTTTGCCTACCCCACAGGCGCCGTGCGGCGCCGCCGTGTCGACCGTCGAACCTTCTTTCTCGTTCTTAAACACCATTTTTGTAATTATTTTTCAACAACCGTGCTGCTGTCGTATAGGTAAACAATTACATTTTGGCTAACAACAAAATTTTCTCGTACAAAACTGATCTTACTTTTCGTGCCCGTACAATTTTTGTGAAATCAAAACAGTTGGCGCGACACAACACTACTTGCCATTGAACATTGAATTTTTAAAGGGCAGTGCTCAGACTGTTCTCCGCGTCCACGCACCCTGGTTGTACTACTGTTTTATGTAAACCGATCTTTGTGCGCGAGATTTCCTCCTCCACCTGTCCCCCCCCTCCCCATCCCACAACCTCGACTGTGGGTTGAGAAATGGGGAAAGGGGGAGGGGGGAATACTCGTCGCAGCAGCCGCGTGCAAGGCCAGGCTGAGCCGAGCAGAGGCGGCAAATTCAAACTTTTAGCGCAACGATCAATGCATCTGAGCGGGGGCAGCACACAGACACAGACATAGACACACAAAGACAGACACAGACATAGACACACAAAGACAGACACACACACACACACACACACACACACACACTGTCTCACCTCATGAGGTCGTCCTGACAGAGCCATGGAGCCCCCTCGCAGTACCGCAGGCACCACAGTCAGGGGCGGATCCAGTGCGCCCGGGGGGCCCGGGGGGCAGCATGCGGGAGCCGCGGTCACCTGCAACACCAAAAACAGGACAACTTTACTTTTGCACTACTTTATTGACTTTACACTCGATTGTTTGTCCGACAGTTGTTCAACATATTGCACCAGTCGATCGCTTCAGTCCCCAGATTCACGGCCAGTTTCCACAACAAGTTTAGCCTTTTTTTAAAACAAAACTACAAAACCTTTTACATGATCAATATTTGAATATGACGAATTTGCGCCAGATACCCTGGGAAATACCGCGGAAACTGTCGAAATAATTTGAAATAACGGCGCGAAAGAACTGAAATATGGCAGTAATGCACAACAACCTACATTTCCTTTGTAGCCTGGCATCCGACTCTCGACGTCCCGCGTACCGTACACCGCAGAAGCTAACATCCCACACGGCAAGAGGAAAAGTGGACTTGTGATGTGATGGTGGCATATTACAAGAATCCAAAAGGAATTCGTTTTATTGAGTTGATGGTTCCTCTCTGCAAAGAGGAAAACGGCCTCTTCGTGATGTGCATAAAAAGTTTTACACTCTGTGTAAAAGTACTTAGTCGATAGGTTTACGGAGAAATTCTCCATGATAGGTGTCGTAAATTTACAACTTGAAAATTTTAAATTTACGAGACGAGCACTTAGTACCGTATGACTTAGTGTGAATTCAGAGTTCACGAAACTTTCCGCTTTTCTCGCTTTTAGGGAACTCTGAATCCACCTTTAGACTAAATCGACAAGCGAAAAAATGGGCTTCACAAATTTACTACACTTTTTGTAAATAAAAAATAAAACAAATGTTGTAAATTTACGATAATATTTTTCACAGTGTCAAATCATAATCTTCATAATTTACCCAATATTCTTTGGTTGAGATTCTCGAATGTTCGAGTCGGACACCGCAGGCAACCGGCCGCCTCCCGCCACCTCTTACACTGCCCCCTAGCCCTCCGCTCGGCCACGCCAGTGCGCAGTGCAACCCATCGAGCCGCCGCGTATTCTCCCGGACAGCCGGTAGCTAGCGAGCGTCGAGGATCGTTAGAAAAAGTGGTGTGAGGTAGGTAGGGTTACAGTTCTCCAATGTCTCTCAAGCTGGAAGTTGCGGCGGTCTACCGGCCGCAGCGCCTGGCCCGAGGGGTCGCCAACTCACCTCAGCAGTGTACGGAGTATTATAGTATTATGTGGTATTAAGGCACGTTTTAAGCGATTTTATGTCATATTATTTGATGACTTCTATAAGGTATTATAAGGTATTATGGGGCTATTTTGGGGTATTTTGTGACATATTATGGAGTATTATAAAGGTATTATGGGACCCGTGTACGGAGTATTATGCGAGTTGGTGACCCCTCGGCCCCAATGGAGCCAGCCGAGCCGAGCACGAAACGAACGGTCTCCCTCGCACTCAACGCTACTAACCACTTCTGGTCCGATCGTCTGCTAAAAAAAGCCTGAACCGAAAATCGCCAGCTTGCCAGCGGCCACCAACCAAAAATATTGTGTCGCACACCTACAGGTGTGTGAATATTGTGTCACACACGTACAGGTGTGTGAATATTGTGTCGCACACCTACAGGTGTGTGAATATTGTGTCGCACACCTACAGGTGTGTGAATATATTGTCGCTCACCTACAAGCCCGTGTTCTTTTCACACACATGCAGGTGTGCTAAATTCGTACATTTAGATTTTCAGTGTGTTCTTACTTTAACCCCTCATAATTAGGCTTAAAGGAAGAACATTTTCGTTTTAAAATTTGGGGGATATTCTTGAATTGAGAAACATTTTAGGGTCGGAGGTGCCGGGGATGGTCTGAGCGTAGTAGAGCCTATCCCGATCATTGTGAAATGAAGTTGTTAGAGAAAATCTTCTATAATGTGCGTCGTAAAATTACAAATTGTAAACTTCCAATCACTTCTGTCGATACGGAAGTGATTATTGTACTTTTGACATTTCAAATTGTATTGTTACAACACACATCATGGAAAATTTCCTGTAAACCTTCCAAGTATGTCACACAGTGCACTATGTACAGTACACGACGCGTGTACAACAATGTACATTGTGCCAACGGTGCCAACGGCGCAAAAGAGGTTCCATATAACGCACAGAAGTACTACTCGCTGAAGGGAGTACACCCAGACGGTATCCGCCACGTACCCGTAGGGGGTACTACCCGGAAGGAGCTCCACCGTGCCCCCGGCCCCCTCGCCCCCTCGCCCTCCAGGAGCTGAGCGAGGCGCGTCGCCGGGGCAACCGCATCGACCGGGAGGCTGGCGCATGCGCTCCCCGCTGCAGCATCCGAAGAGAGAGGGAGGGGAGCGGGAGGGGGCAGGCAAACCGATTTATAAAACGCCTCTTAAGTTCTAGATACCCCCGTGAAACAAACGGAGTAGGGGGGGGGGGCAATAAGGGGTGGAAACCCTGGAAAATTTCCGGAAAATTTAGGAAAAACGGTAAATTACCGGGGGAAACTTGAAATCTTCAATGACTTGGGAAACTTTTTGCTATTTTCCGGAATTTTTGGGAAATTTGCCGGAAAATTCTGGAAAGTTTTAACTCTAGGCAGGCACATTACTGACAAGGCGATGGAGGGGGGAAATCATAGTCAGGACCAAAACGTACACGACTATTTCGTGGTACTTTTCGTGGATGCGGTTAGTTCGTGGATCTGTTTGGCTTAGTTTGCTTTGCGCTACGAATTTACGCACTAATGCATACAATCCGTTCAATCTCTCGATGCGGCGCACAAAGTTGGTATTTTAAAAGAGGCGGCCAACTGCCACACAGCGCGTCTCGATCGCACATAGTTTGGTGGGGATCATGGAAGAAAATCAACATTTAAGGCGTAAGGGACGAAAAGTCTGGTGCGGATCGTAAAGAAGGGACGTCTTAAAGCTCGGCGCCCGCGATACTCGGGGTAGGCCTGCCCGCAGTGCACGCATGCACCGCAGGCAAGAGATTGCCTACCTAGCAGGCGCTATGGGAGCCTGCAGCTGGACCTGGCGGCAGATACTGATAACAAAGGCATAACGGACGCAATTTATGCATGGGACTAACGTCGACTCAAGTGTCGTACCAGGCCCACAAAAGATGTGTCCCACAATAAGTGGTTGGGGGTGGCCGTAGTCTCTCTTGTAGTTATACACCTCAGCTGCCCTGTTTTCTGAGTGTAAATAACCATCGACTATTAAGCAACTCAACTTTACGTTGATTGGGGTAGTACACTCGGCGTCGTACACGAAAAACTGCAAGACGCAGCCAGTGCCTTCACACACGGTAAAAACAGTAGCTTTATGTTTCAAGGACCAAGACACCGATTCAAGGACGGGAGTAGAGAAAAACACATGGGCGTCCTTGAATCGATGTCCTGGTCCTTGAACATAAAGCTGCCGTGTTTTTACCGTGCCCTGTACATCTGTAAAGACAACCTCTCTGTGGTGTTCAAACTGCACCCTCAATAGCCCATTCTTGTAGGCCTAACAAGAATGCCGCGTTTGTCGGAATGCAAATTTACTCGCCTCAAGAAAATGTACTACTTGCTGACAGCATTTACTTGAGTCAAGTATATTTTTCTTGTTACAAGAACAGGCTTTTTAGAGTGAGTAAAGCTGTGAGCGCCTGCACACGACACCAAGCTTAGTTTTACAAAACACAACTCTCACGGGTACAAAACGTTAACGAACGCAGTGTCTACACGTTAAAAAGAGTTATAGAGTGTTTCCAGGAGCGTGTGGCACAGGCGACAGGCGTCTCCGCTGCACGTGGCTCCGCGTGACGAGAGGCGGGAACCTTTGATTATGGCGGGTCAGGGGAATTCCACGGGAGGGGCGTAAAAAGGGGGAAGAGCAAAAGAGGGAGCTCGCGCCCAGGAGCGGCGGAGGAGAGCAAGAGCGAGCGAGGAGAGTTCACCTGGGAGAGCGCGGGCGGGGGGTGAGCGGCACACAGCTCATTGGTCCAGCCAGTTTCGATGTGACCAATCAGGCCGAGTCTGACGCCACTCTTGGCCGCGTGGAGCGCTGGCGCGCGACTCTCCCCTCGCCCCTCTCCCCCTCCCCCTCTCTCTTCGGGCTAACGGCAGTCAGATAGAGACAAAAAGTCTGCAGCCCTGACGTTGCCCCGTACTAATGACATTTCCCCCAACAGCCCCCGACCCCCTCCATACCATCCCCGTGCTTCAGAAATAAAAAATAATTATCTCTCCTTCCAATTTTTTTTTTCAAGGTGGTGAAGTGGGTGGTGGTGGGGGTATTCGGTGTTCTACACACACACTGCCGCCGCTCCGCTTCGCCCCGTTGTAGACCGTGGCGCCCTCCCTGCGCAGCGGGAGACACTCGCTCAGCTGCAGCCCCCCACTCCGTGCCCCTGCCCCCCACTCC